TCAAAATGGAGCTGCCAATGATCAGAGTTGGTTTCTCAGCGGCTGTGTCGCTGAGTGGGGAAAATCTGTTAGAAGCGCGAACAGGTTGGTGGTGCCCCGTGGACTTTGAATGCTTACGACTACTCCTCCTTCAGACAGTCACCAAGCCACCCCTTCCTGGCTGCTCAGGAGACTGGCTAGCTACAGTAGCTAAAGACTGATCTACCAAGGTGCGGAGCCGGACTTCTAAATCACTGAGCCTCGCCTCCATGTCTATAAATAAACTACACTTATTACACGTACCATTACCGCTAAAGGAGGCAGAGGAGTAACTGAACATCTGACACACCGAGCAGGAGAAAGTGGGAGAGCGAGAGGGAGAAGGAGAAGCCATCGCTAGCTGCTAAACTAAAGTCGCTAACGGCTAAGCTAAAGTACTGTAGCGTCAGCTACCAAAACTTTTGAAAACAACTATGAGATTGAACAGCAGTCACCAAAAGATGGAAAGAAGTGTGAGTGCTTAAGCAAAATTACTGTAATAAGTGTTTAGCGGACAGTTGGCCGCTGTAATCTAACAAATTTAACTGGTATTTAGTGAGAGCAGCACAACGCGGTACCAACACACAAGCACCGAAATGAGTCGACACGCTACCGCAGTACGTCAACAGTCGTCACCAGCCTTCAGTCTTTCTTGTGAGTCAGTACAGCTGGAGGTTTCAGGATCAACTGTTAAGCCAGTGTTAGCTGCTGGATCTGTGATTGTGACCTGGGGAAAAGGAGGAAGTAGATGTGGCCTCTGAGTTGTTGCAGGGTCGTCTGAACAACTCTGAAACCCTGCAGAACCTGGATTCCCTGGTAATACATTTAGATAAGGGTAAGCGTGAGGAAGTGATCTCGCTCATATAGAGATATCCCACTCTTTTCCCTGATGTTCCATCCTAGACCCACCTTATACAACATGACATAGATGTTGATGGTGCTGAGCCCATAAAGCAGAGGTTTTATCGGGTGTCTGAAGCGAAAAAGCAGTTGTTAGAGGCTGAACTGTTGTGGGAACTGTTGGGCTTCTGTAAATAGCATCACAGAGTACGGTCTAGACCTGCTCTTTTATGAAAAGCGCTGTGAGATAACTGTTGTTGTGATTTGGTGCTATATAAATAAAATTTAATTGAATTGAATTCTGGTTTATATTGCTACAAGGTAATGCCATTTGGTTTGCGTAATGCTCCTGCTACTTTCCAGTTGATGAATCGGGTAGTTTCAGGTCTGGCTGGTTGTGCAGTGTACCTGGATGATGTTGTCGTATATTCAGACACCTGGGAGACTCATCTACAGCGTGTGTGTGCACTGTTTGACAGGTTGGTCTGGGCACAGTTAACTTTCAATCTGGCAAAGTGTGAATTTCAGTCCACTGTTACTGTTACTGTGACTTGTCACAAGCCAGCTCAAAAAAATAAAATAAAATAAAATAATGAAATAATGTACAAGAGTGTTAGAAATCCTGATGAAATCAGCGCTGGAAAACACATTTTTTTATAAACAAATTTTTGTTGATTTTAGTAATTATAATGACAGCTTGAGTGCCATATAAATAATATCTTACAAAAATTACTGAAGATTACACAGCCTGCGGAGATCTACTGATTATTTTGATAACGCTCCTTATTCAGATCCAACATCTACTTTTCTCATGCTGTCTCCTCTCCAACAACAATAAACACATGAATCGTTAAAATAATACAGATGGATGTTAAATTAACTATAATAAATTCAGACACGATTAGAATTGAATATATCAAATATAACTACATGTTGTGTAAATGTTATGCTTTGTACATGTTTGTTATTTTAACAAGTATATTGATTAAGTATTCGCGCTTTACTAATGGATGTTGCACTTAGGCTGCACAGTAACAAGCATCAACTCGTCTTCACTTCTGTCTCTCCATCTGTGTGTGTGGAAGATCTCAGAGGATTTCTTTTTTTAACATAGATTTTTTATTCACAATAAAATAAGTAATAATAATAAATAATTAAGGTGTGTCAATAATGAGTTTATTGCATCCTTTCGGATTTTAATGCATCAGGTTCCAGGGATATTGGTTTAAAATGGAGGTTTGGCAGGTGTAGCAGACCTAAAAATTTTAGTTATGCATTTTAATAAATTGATAAATGAGAATTGATACCCAATTATGAATTTTTAAGATTCATAAAATCATTTTATTTAATTTGATTTTATTCCTCGTTTCAGGGCACCACCGGAGTTGTTATAATCCTAGAGTCTCCGGACCTCTAGGTAGTTTTGAATAATTATACAATTATTACTAGTGATCAGTTAGTTAATAATCGCTCAATTATCTTAAATCAATCAGTCAGTCTCATATCTAAAGGGTCAATTCTCTTGGCAGGAACTAGAAATAGGCAACACACACAGCTCTTGATTATATTACAGTGAATTTATTCTCTAACTAAGGTGATAAAAAGATGGTTGGATACAGGGAACAAACATTTTCTGAACAATGAGCCTGGAGGTTCGATTGTGGGAAGCATTTGACTCATACGGCATAGAAGAACTAATGAAAGTAAACTAATGCTATAATTTAGGAGTTAAAATGGACATCTGATCACAGAACGTGGGTTAAGTCTTACTGGTTGTCGACAGCCTGCTTTTGGCCTGTTGCTGGTCCCACTCTAGCTGCCCGATCCTGGCTTTTTGCTAGGGATTTTCCAGGGTTCTCCGTGTCTGATTGAAAACGCCTCCTTCATCTGGCAATTCGGCTGATTTCAGGTTTCCTTCGTTGTAGCTGGCAAGACCACGTGGCTTGGTCTGACCTCGGTGAAGTTGGTTCGACAAAAAAGGCTTAAAATGGAACTTGGTCGTTCCTGAATTAGTCCAGTGTAACTTAACGGACTGATAACTTTAATAAACAAAAGAAATAAAGAAAATAAAACAAACTGAAGGCAGATCGATGTCGCGGCACTTCAGGTGTGTAGCTTCAAGCGAACAAAAGGCCTGTCACTGTCGACTGAGGGCGTTGCCTGGCGAGGCACGCCACACGCGTGCCGAAGCATCCAGCGAGCAGAGCAGAGTGGAAGAGAGCCAACAGCGAAGAGAAGAGTGCGCGCGAGGTCGCGTGTCGCTCTTTTGTTGCCTGGGGCGTGGTTCCCCAGGGGGCGTCTCAGGTTTCCCCAGGAACTGCCTTTCTAAACTTAATGTCTAAAAGAAATCTATTTGCACGTCTTACAATCAAATATTTTCTACAATCGAACCTCAATGGTTGAAAGGTTGTACTGTTCTAGGCATTTGGTAACAGGAAACAATTGTCACATTATTGGTCAGGATATTTATACATTTAACGGCATTTCCGACGAGGGCATGTAATACTTATTTCGTCCACTTGGGGGAGCTCAGGTTACATGAGGAAAGCTTGGATTAAATCAAAGATCGTCTCTCTTTAGGAACCGGGGAATTTGTTGATTCATCCTTAAATTCAAGCTGGCGGTTAAGAGTATAGTAAAACATTTCTTTGTCATCATTTCTAAAGGAATTTTGTAGGAAAGTATTATGAACGAGCATTGATTACATTAGATGAAGGAGTGTCTTGCTGAAAATAAAAACACTGCACAAGTAACTTCTTTTAAGCACTAATATCAACAACAGATAGCAACAACAGTTAACATAACTACTCAAATAGAGGCAAACATATTCAGGCAACTTAAAGATTTAATTAAATGCTACATTGAAAGTTCAGTGTCTGGGTCATGTCACACTTGGGTGAGACAGGGTTTTCCTTTTTGATGTGGTAATAAAACAAAGAATAAGGTCAGTTGCCACGGAAACATGTGTGGGGGGGCCAGTTTTGATAGGCTGTTTAGGGAAATGCCAATGGCTGGTTCGTGTCCCTTTGTCAGTTTAACAGTCAGGCCCCGCGTTATCAGCTTCGGAATGAAAAAGGTGCCAGTTTTATGGTCGGGATAGCACTTAGAGAAAGCAACTTTCACCCCTCCCCTTCTTCTCTGGGGAGTAGAAAGGAATTTAGGGTAGCTCCAAATTTATTCAATGTAAAATATGCACAAATCCACAGCGTTGTTCACTACACAGGTGAACACATTTTTTTTATGTTGGTTTTGTTTTGTTTGTACTGCTTTATGATGATGAGGATGGAGTGTAGCAAATGTGTGAGATCTGTCACTGGCTTTATGTCCAGACTTTGTTCATTTACACTATCAGTATGTGCAGGTGGTGAAGATGTTCCTGGTGAGTCGAAGTGAGTAGGCAGATCTGTTTGTGTGCCACCGCAGTGTCTCATTTGAGCATTAAATAATTGTTCAATGCTCAAAATTGTCATATAATTCAGTATTAAACTCTCGTCTCAATCTCGTATGCTGCGTCTCGTCACACCCCTAGTAGTGTAGTTTGATTAGGTTTAGGTACCAAAACTAGCCTTCTTGGTAAGGTTTAGGAAAAGATCATGGTTTGGGTTAAAATAACGATATTACTTAAGTTAAGCTAGCGTAACATCACTAAAAATAATAAATGTTAACTTTTTGCTTTACACGGGAAAAGAACACCGGTCTCATGGGTGAAAGTTTGTTTTTTGTCCCATCCATCCACCCACCCCAGTTACCTCCTTACTTAGACTTTTCTGGTTATATATAGTAGGCGTTGAACAATGGCACTAAAGTGCACCATGTGTGTTGTAGCCGGATGCCAAGAGACGTGACAAATAGTCCATATGTGACGGCTTGGGAATGAAACGCTGACAAAGAACTTTGAGGACTAGTTCCAGGAACCCTTAAATGTCACCTTCCCATTGGCTGTATGGGCAGTAACTGAATTTGTGGTGCATAAACCACAATAAATTATTTTAGTTTCATAATTTTAAAAGTGTGTAAAACAACTTTAGTGAATTCTCCCTATAAAAATCGGAGCAGAAACGCTGTTCCTTCCATACTTTCCCCCCCAGAATGGTATTCCCTTTCCCCCCTCCTCTCACGCCCCTACTGCATGAAATTCAGCCTTTTTATGCTGCCATGAAACATTTATTTATTTCATGGATCATCAGTCACAGAAAAAATTTAATCCAAAGGATAACAGTAAAAAAAAAACTTGTTTCCAACATGACTGAAGGCAAAGAAAACACAAAGAAGCACAAGAAATTAAACATAAAAACTGTTCCACAACACCACCAATGAAAAGGAACTTCTGGCTAATTTATCCATGCTTTACATGTACTATAGTTATGCTGAGTATGGAACAGTGTGATCTGAAAACACAAGCACTGAGGACCAAACCTGTACATGTCTCAACATTCAGACTGACTCTTTTTGAAGTTGATGCAGTCTTCTCCGAAGTTGATGATGTTTGTCAGCGCGCTCAGGAGCAGCGAGTCAACGTCATTGTTGAGGTCGATTTCTTCATGGTAGTTCTTCACAGGGAAGATGCAGTTCATGGGAATACCCACTTCTGCACTGAACTGCTCCATCTACATTTAAAAAGATCACAACATCTCAGTTAACATCTCAGAGCGTTAAAGGCTTTTGTGCTCAGTGCATCGATCCGATCTATTGGACTCATACTGACTTTAAAGGGGATCAGATGTTGGCATCACTAAACAGATATATGCATTTTCAGAATCACTCATCTATCAAGCTCTGCTTTTGCTGCTTGCTGCAGGTGGATCACAGACTTCCTGACGGACAGAAAGCAGCACATGAAGCTGGGAAAACATGTCACTGATTCCAGGACCATCAGCACCAGTTCCCCCCTCAAGGCTGCGTTCTTTCCCCTCTGCTCTTCTCCCTGTACACCAACAGCTGCACCTCCAGTCACCAGTCTGTCAAGCTCCTGAAGTTTGCAGATGACACCACCCTCATTGGGCTCATCTCAGGTGAGGATGAGTCCGCCTACAGGTGGGAGATCGACCATCTGGTGACCTGGTGCAGCCACAACAGTCTGGAGCTCAACGCACTGAAGACAGTGGAGATGGTCACGGACTTCAGAAAGAGCACAGCCCCACCCTCCCCCATCATCCTGATTGACTCCCCAGTCACCACTGTGGACTCCACTTCCACATCCTGGGCACCATCATCTCCCAGGACCTCAGGTGGGAGGTGAACATCACCTCCATCACCAAGAAGGCCCAGCAGAGGATGTACTTCCTGAGGCAGCAGAAGAAGTTCAGCCCGCCAAAGACAATGATGGTGCACTTCTACACTGCTTCTCACCTCCTCCTTCACCATCTGGTACGCTGCTGCCACTGCCAAGGACAAGGGCTGCAATCTAACATCCGTCCTGGATCTGCATACAGACCTCAGGCCACATGAACAGTTTCTACCCGTCTGCAGCTAGCCTCATTAACAAGGCCTGGGTCCCCCACTGACTCTGACTACCATGCCCTGCTCTCCTCCCACATTAATGTTTGCACAAAATATGAGATCTGAGTCTGATTCTCTTATTTTACATGTAAATACTTGTCTCTACTTGGTTTATGTTTATGTTTTATTATTGTTGCGCACCTAGTGGCCAAAACGTGTAAAAACAACTTGGCAATAAATCTGTTTCTGATTCTGATTCCTGTTTGCAGTCAAAAATCAAAATGGCTTGATCTTAAACAAGATACCTGTTGCAGCTTTGCAACAACGCCGTGTTGTCAGGGTTGGGAGGCTGCGTACAACAATTCATTAGTAATTTCTTCATGTAGGAATTGGTCAGATGTGAAAAAAGGCAGGATTTGAATTTATCTTGCAAGGTTTCAAGCAAAGGAATGCTCTTAATCCAGAGGTTTACATGTCTTTAAATGATCGATGACTGGTGAGAGATTTGGCCGAGTCGAGTTTGGGTATTTAGAATCAAATTGGTATAGGGAGAAATAAACCGAACGGTGGTCTCAAATATTGAAACCATTCTGACTGTATAACTCAAACTCCAACATTGCAAATTCATAATATTACCTATTAAACCTACCTTATTCTTCAGGAACTTGCTCCTGTAGATGTTCTTTAAATCTTGTTTGATTTCAGAACAGTAATCAATTTTGGTGAGGATGGCCACTTGAGGAATTCCTGCCAGGAGAACACAAAACTACTGAATCATGTAACTGATATAAACTGAAACTGACCACAGCTGCTCTTCTCTGTGATGATGGAAACTACAAACAGCTGCAGGAGGTGAATGTTTTATACAACGTATTCCAATCAGTGTGATCTATTAAAACCCAATAAAGAGAAGAATAATCAGAGATTTATGTTCTCACCCAGGTGACTGGCTTCCAGCCTGATGTTCCGAATCTTCTCTACAGTTATATTATTCATTTGATGTATTCTGCTGACACCAACAACACAAACCAGAACATGCACTTTGTCGTTGGCAGTGGGAGATTTGTTGTAGAACTGATCATCCTCTGACAACGGTGATTCAGGTTTGAACTGGAAAACAAATTGAAATCCAGTTAATCAACAGTAACAAAAATGGGAATGGGAAAATGTTCTGCAAAGATTGTAGCTTCTGTACCCTGTAACCGTCCTTCACATGTCCCTTCAAAGCCAGTTTGATGTCTTCCACTTGGACACCTTTGATTGGATCCAGGCCCATGATGTCACTGAGGATAAAAGGGTAAAAGGACTCTGGACTTTCTTTTTGGATCTTGTAGGTTGTGTACTGTAAAGCACATACAGAGAAAAGGACAGTTATTATTTTATTACCACTATAGAGAAAAAACAGACATCAATTCTCAGGTAGGTGTCGAGGTTGGCCAAGTACAGAGGCAGGCAGTGTGCAAATTTCGGGGGGAGGGGGATTTCCCCTCTTCTGGTTTCTATATCCCTGCCTCTACTGAATAAAATATATATAATTTTTATCCCCCCCTCAGAGTGATCTACTTCAATAGTGATGCAACTTGTCACAAAACTCACAGTTCGGATCGATCTGTAGTTTTGTTAGTGTTAAATTAATTAGAAAAGGCGCTACTTTGGCTCTGATCCAGCTGCCTCTCTGTCTGTAGGTAATCACCAGGCTGGAGTCTTGCTTAATGTCCCGCCCACGGCACTGTCTTATTGGTTACAAGTCGCTAATAATAGTCTATCAACACTCACGACACATTTGCTTAGGTGAACAGCGGAGCTGTGTGTTGAAGGGAAGGCAGCCAATATTCCTAAAGCTGCAATAAACCTCACAATCTGATTATCTGTTTCGATGATGATAGGCAGCCCAGCGTCCCTGTTACACCTTTGAACATGCCTGAATTTTCATTGTCTTTTACAAAAATCGCACCCTGGAGGCAGGTAAAGTGAGGTGTGGATCCAAATGTAAAACACTTTGAAGCGCTGATACAGTTTGTAGCGTTTATTCTTCAACAACAGAAAACAGGTGTACATGTGGTTGTAGCAGGAAAAGTCCAAAACACAGATGGCAACATAAATCCAGGCAAAGTTCAGTAATATATATGTTTAGGCCATCAACATATGGTTTGAGTTTCAGAGCAAAGAAATTATGTTATCAGTAACAGTGTCAACTGTAACAACAAGCCTTTCAAAGCTATATTTATAAGCAGCACGTATAAACACCAAAGATTCTGTATGTGTTGGAACAACCGGCTGCGACTAAGTGACCAATGAAAACTTGGTCTACTAAGACTCTTCTTATCGACAAACGGTTGACTATTTAGCCTATTACAAACAGAGAGAAAACAAGGAATATGGACTGACAGGTAACTCTACAGTAAATACATGTATAATATGATGTGGTTACATACAGATCACTTTCTTGACAGTTAATGATCAGCAGAAGGATTTAACAGTGAGTTTTCATGTATTCTAAAAAAGAAGCAAGAAGTTCTTATACGCCCGCTAAGTCAGAACTACTCCTATCAACAGTCAGAGCTGGTTTCTCTTTCAAGTCGCCTCAACTTAAACAGATCTTAACCACAACAGCAGCGGAAACAGGAAGTCAGTGGAGCTCTGAAGCCTTTTCAGTGTCAATGTTTCAGGCAGTTTATTTGTGTCAATACACATGTCTTACAACATGATGGTATGATCTCTTATCCACCCACGTTCCACCTAGATCCACAAAAAAGCCTCTTACTGTGCATTCACAGTCAATGCGACGACACTGAGAAATACCATTTCCCGTCGGCCAGTTCACAGGACATGCTGGTGGGGACGCGAGGGGATTCGCCTCAGTTGAAATTTCTTAACTCAGATTTTTTCTTAACGACTCTGTGTCGCAATAGCCTATCAGTGTTGAGATTGTCTGGACGTCACTGACGGCTTCAGTGTTGTGTTGAGAGGGACAGAGTCTCTGCCGGCCGACAAACAGCTGCTGAGTGACGGGGCGCTGAGGAGGAGAGAGGCTGGAGAAGCACCGGAGACTTTGGACAAATAAATCCCCGCAGTCAGACCAGATCCTGCTCTGACAAATGCACCGTTTACCGGCGGGAGGAGCTAACAGTTAACTGCTAAATTAACTTTTTACTTAAATTTTTGGGATTGAAACACTGATTTATCTTCACTCACACTTCTCAGCAGCGAGTCTGACGTCCACTGTTTTAGGCACCCAGAGCTCTGTGATCTATCCAGCTATCGTCGTACTTTGCTGTGAACAAGTTAGCATAGCCCTGATCCCTACAAACTCCTTTCAGAAAACAAGCATTTTAAAAGTTGTTGTCCTGCTGTCTTGCTGACAGACAAAGCATGAATTCATGTTTAACAAATCTGCATCACATTGTAGTTATTTCGGCATCAGTTTGATCCGTTTCAATTAAATCCCAGCAAAATGTTTACTTTGGGTTCAAACCACTGTAGCAATCGCGGGTTGTGTTCGCATTGTGTGTCAACACTCAGCAGTAGTACAGAAATAAAACAACATGAAGATTAAATCCGCTTTGGGTCTGAATCCACAGTTAGGCCCATACCCTAAACCGAACAGGAAGTCAGCCATTTTGATTTGAAAGTGCCATTTGACCTTTTGCTTTGTACAAGGTCCATACTTTAATGAACTCCTACATAATTAATCTGATCAACATAAAATTTTGACTGTGTCTCAGTGTCTCAAGACATTGACGCTGAAAACTAACTGTGACTTTTGGTTTCTAGGCATGTCCGTAGCGTGGCGTGTTATATGATTAAATATTCCTTAGCTGAAAAGTACATAATACTACTACTACTACTACTACTACTAATAATAATAATATACTCACCTAAAGGATTGTTAGGAACACCTGTTCAATTTCTCATTAATGCAATTATCTAATCAACTAATCACATGGCAGTTGCTTCAATGCATTTAGGGGTGTGGTCCTGGTCAAGACAATCTCCTGAACTCCAAACTGAATGTCAGAATGGGAAAGAAAGGTGATTTAAGCCATTTTGAGCGTGGCATGGTTGTTGGTGCCAGACGGGCCGGTCTGAGTATTTCACAATCTGCTCAGTTACTGGGATTTTCACTCAACCATTTCTAGGGTTTACAAAGAATGGTGTGAAAAGGGAAAAACATCCAGTATGCGGCAGTCCTGTGGGCGAAAATGCCTCGTTGATGCTAGAGGTCAGAGGAGAACGGGCCGACCGATTCAAGCTGATAGAAGAGCAACTTTGACTGAAATAACCACTCGTTACAACCGAGGTATGCGGCAAAGCATTTGTGAAGCCACAACAAGCACAACCTTGAGGCGGATGGGCTACAACAGCAGAAGACCCCACCGGGTACCACTCATCTCCACTACAAATAGGAAAAAGAGGCTACAATTTGCAAGAGCTCACCAAAATTGGACAGTTGAAGACTGGAAAAATGTTGCCTGGTCTGATGAGTCTCGGTTTCTGTTGAGACATTCAGATGGTAGAGTCAGAATTTGGCGTAAACAGAATGAGAACATGGATCCATCATGCCTTGTTACCACTGTGCAGGCTGCTGGTGGTGGTGTAATGGTGTGGGGGATGTTTTCTAGGCACACTTTAGGCCCCTTAGTGCCAATTGGGCATGGTTTAAATGCCACGACCTACCTGAGCATTGTTTCTGACCATGTCCATCCCTTTATGGCCACCATGTACCCATCCTCTGATGGCTACTTCCAGCAGGATAATGCACCATGTCACAAAGCTCCAATCATTTCAAACATGACAATGAGTTCACTGTACTAAAATGGCCCCCACAGTCACCAGATCTCAACCCAATAGAGCATCTTTGGGATGTGGTGGAACGGGAGCTTCGTGCCCTGGATGTGCATCCCACAAATCTCCATCAACTGCAAGATGCTATCCATCAATATGGGCCAACATTTCTAAAGAATGCTTTCAGCACCTTGTTGAATCAATGCCACGTAGAATTAAGGCAGTTCTGAAGGCGAAAGGGGGTCAAACACAGTATTAGTATGGTGTTCCTAATAATCCTTTAGGTGAGTGTATACCCTTTATTGCAAAGTTTGTATTATGGAATAATGAATTTGTGATATTTTCTTTATCAACACAATGAAAAGTTCTTCATACCTTCCTGGTGAAACTGTCATGATTGATGTTTTCCGCTAAAGCCAGTGTGTTCATTCTGCCATGTAACACACTTTGAACAGAGTTGATAAAACTGGAATTTCCAGCTCCAGCTGGGCCATGAAGAAGAATCCTGAGCTGCTGGCCTTCATCATGAGGTTTGTAGTTCTTCACGTACTGCAGAGCGCTCTGTTTGTCTCTGCTCAAGGAAGGAAACATTTGAGTATAGACGAAAGTCATTTTGAACTGATGTCACACATCAACTGAGAAATGAATCAGGAGATCATCGAACAAGGAAACAAACAAAAAAAAACAATCAATCACAAGTTAATAGGTGCGGTTTCTGCTGTGAAAGTTAACATTGATGGTGTGGACACACTCACCCCCAGTTTATTGTCCTCCATGGTTCGCTGAGAACTGACAAATACACAACACATGTTCAGATAAGACAAAATATTATGAAAACACAAATCTGTAATTATCAGGAAATCAAGAACTGTTTTTTAAACAATCTTACGTGAAAGATGTTCATAGTGTTTATCTCCCATGGCTGGAGAATAAAACAGTAAAAAAACCAATAACTGATTTAAAAAATCCAGGCTTTAAATAAAAAAAAGCCTGAAACGTAAAAAATGGCACAAATTCAACAACAATAAATCTTAAAATGTGATTATTTTTGTCATGTTGATGTCAGTTCAGACAATGATCATATTTAGTTTATTCATCAAAAATCACGATGCTGCTATTAATAACAAAGATATTTAAAGCAGTTTCAAAATTAACACATTTGAGGATGAATGTAACAGAAGCAAAGTACCTGTGTTGTTGCTGCTGCGTCCTGGAACAAAGTGAAGAAATATGAGCCTTGGAGCTTTGTAATTTACATAGACAATAGGTGTTATTTTCATTCTGAAGACACGCACATCTTAAGAGAAGTTCCCCTTAGTCTCTTCCGGCTCTTAAACCACACATTTCCATTTTCATCAGGGTGTTATTTATTTTTTTCTTCACTGTTTTCTGTTTGAGGATCTAAACACTCTCACAACCCCAACAACAGTTCAACAGTGCAAGACATTTGAAGCAGTACAGTTTGATATACAACCCCGTTTAGTAACATTAACTACAATGTTCCCAAAAAGTTGGCACACTGACATATCAGATGTTGAAACTGAGAAATTTTAGTGTTTTTGGAAAATTATACAACTGTTTCGAATTTGGTATCAGCAACATGTTTTAATTGAGTTTGGACTGGGTCATGTTCATTGAGGGTCTGGGACCTGAAGAGACCGACTGCTTTCATCTTAAAAGTGGGATGTTTTCCCATTCTTGCTTGGTGACTTTGTTTGGCCTGTGGGAAGTCATCAGAGTTTGCATTACAGCCAGTTCTGTACTGACAAACATTTGTTGCTTTCCTAGATGTGAGAAGAAGTGACCACAGAACAGGGAGTGGCAGGACTGAGGGAGACACAGGAAACATCACAGGAAGCTGTGGCTGCTGTGGCTAGCTACATTAACTAGCAGCTGTTTATGGTATGTAGTTGGTTTTGTTCTAGTTACTTTACACTGCGTCTCTCTCTGATTGTGCACCCGACTGTTTTTAATAACCCGGCTATTCTCCATCTTCTTTCACTACAAAACGCCCTCTTTCAGCCACACTAAGTACTTTCTGTTTTCAAAAGTCATTAGAAATGAGCATTTAAGCGCCCCCTCAGGTTCAAAGTCACTCCTACGCCCCTGTTATACATCTCAGAAAATTAGAATATTGTGAAAAGGTTCAGTATTGTAGGCTCAAAGTGTCCCACTCTAATCAGCTAATTAATCCAAAACACCTGCAAAGGGTTCCTGAGCCTTTAATTGGTCTCTCAGTCTGGTTCAAACACGGGCTTCAAATCAAGCCGCTCCTGAACAACAAACCGTCAGAAGAAAAAAAAGAACTGGTCTGTTTCTCAGTGCTCCAAAGTCCTCTTTTCTGATGAGAGCAAATTTTGCATCTCATTTGGAAACCAAGGTCCCAGAGTCTGGAGGAAGAATGGAGAGGCACACAATCCAAGATGCTTGAAGTCCAGTGTGAAGTTTCCACAGTCTGTGTTGGTTTGGGGAGCCACGTCATCTGCTGGTGTTGGTCCACTGTGCTTTATTAAGTCCAGAGTCAGCGCGGCCGTCTACCAGGACATTTTAGAGCACTTTATGCTTCCTTCAGCAGACGAGCTTTATGGAGATGCTGACTTCATTTTCCAGCAGGACTTGGCACCTGTCCACACTGCCAAAAGTACCAAGACCTGGTTCAGTGACCATGGGATTACTGCTGACCAGCGAACTGGCCTGACCTGAACCCCGTAGAGAATCTATGGGGCATTGCCAAGAGAAAGATGAAAGACATGAGACTGAACAATGCAGAAGAGCTGAAGGCCGCTATTGAAGCATCCTGGTCTTCCATAACGCTGATGGCATCCATGCCACGCCGCACTGAGGCAGTAATTCATGCAAAACAGGCCCAAACCAAGTACTGAGTACATCTGCATGATTATACTTCTCAGAGGGCAGAGGACATTTCTGTATTTAAAATCCTTTTTTTATTGATTTCATGTAATATTCTAATCATCTGAGATTTTGAATTTGGGGTTTTCATAAGCTGTACGCAATAATCATCGAAATTATATCAAATAAAGGCTTTAAATATCTCACTTTTAATGTAATAAGTCTATATTATATATTAGTTTCACCTTTTCAGTTGAATTACTGAAATAAATGAACTTTTGCACGATATGCTAATTTTTTGAGTTTCACCTGTATACTGTGTGTGTGTGTGCTCTCCTCTTGTGTTTAATTACCATGTGAATACCAGTGGAGGACTATGGAAGAGAAGACCTTGGTATCTGGAAACAGCACGGGCCTTAAAATATTGTAAAAACTCTTTAAATCATTGAGACAGATTTTTTTGAATCTTTGTTACGTGAAAAACAGCTTTAAAAACTCTCCTTAAAGAAAACTCTACTGTGATTTGGGCATTGCAGCTTGTGGCATAGGAACTTAGTAGTTTAGTACCTTTAATAAAATAGATGTAAAACAGAACAAGGGGAACATGTTGCTCTCAGGAGGAGGCGGCTAGAAGGAGCACAAATTGACAGAGTGGCATTGTATCGGTCCATTGTAACATAAAATTTAATACATTTTATAATAAGTCCCCCTCTTATCTACATTACAAACAGTAACACGCGTCTTGTCCTGCTGCTTGTTGAGCAAAATAAACGTTCACTCAGCTACAGCACATTCTGCAGCATGGCTTTGACCCGGTTAGATGCTGGTGTGGTTCTGACTCTTCAGGACCACCAATAATACGCTGTCTGCACAAGACCTGTAGCCACAGGCTGTGGTTTTGCACAATATACTTTACAGTGTCTGGTGTAACACCGGTACTGCTGTCAATCAATAACAGGCAGGGACACGCCCCTCTGGCTAGCTAACGGGGAATCACATTTCTGATATTTCTCCAACTGTCAATTTTTCCTTCTTTTAATAGTAAAAGATGAATAACAATACATTTAAAAAAAAACACACATTGACATTAATATCTTGTAGGCAATTTCCCCTTTATCAAGGGGTTTAAATCAGCTGGTTCTGGTCCCTCATAGGTAGAAATCTATGTTCACAATTAAAAAACAAATCCTGACAGAAGAAAATAACAGCACGCTGCCCTCTGCAGGAGCTCCCCGATGACCCCAAACATTTACCTGCAATCAAAATCACTGTAAGTTCTGTAAGTCCACTGCAAGAACATCACGCCATTTCAGCGCAGACTTGCTAAAACTGGGATAATTTGCTCTTAAACTCCAACTTGATCAACACAAGCAGAGATCAGGTGGTGAGTTTGACACTGTGACTCAATTTCAATGAGAATCTTTCATTCAGTTTTGACAAATTAACCTGTTGACTCGTTTAAGCAGTGTTTCAAGATTTCACAGGGACGTTCAGAGCCGGCCCGAGAACATGTGAACCACATTTAGTGAGAAGAAATTAGATTTGTGAAAAATGAGCCATCATCACAGCTTTGAGAACTAATTGCAGCAAAACTCAGAATTCATAGTTAGCTGAAAATTACATAAAATTTTAAGGATGTCAAAACTCCTCATAACACTGTGCTCGTCCTCCAGTGGTGTCGGTAACGCGCGTTCACGTCTTTTGGGGGCGTGGCTTTTGAAGGAGCCCAGAAGCGAGGAGGTGGGAGTTTCTCTGTTGGATACTTTCAAATCATGTAGTCTCTTATTAGTTTCTCAAACTTAGCTACTCTGCCTTTAAGCTCTTTGCTAAATTTTGTTGTTGTAATTATTTTAGGTTTTGTTAAGTTTCTTCTTCTGGACAAAATAACGCTGAGTTAGGCAGTGGTCTCCTGTCAAACACTTCCTGTTAGAGGAGAGGAGGAGGGAAAGAGACACTTTGAAACAAATATTTTTCTTGATACCTGCCATGTAATTAATGAACATTTTGCTTGACATTTGTAGTGTGTTGGAAGAGATTCACTACCTTACCTAACATTGCGGATGATTTATACAATCAAGGATATTTGAAGGATTGGTTTCGGGCTACACCACAACCATGGATAGCTGCGGTAGAACAAACAAACAAAGCTACTCCGATTGATTATCCTGAATATGTGACATTAGACACTCTAAAGGAATAGCTGGACCAGCAGAAGAGCTGTGATGAGGATTTGTTGAAGAGGCAGGAGGCTGCATTTCAAAGTTTCACTCAACTGATTCTGGACTCAGCCAACAAAAGAGTGTTGGGTTAGTTAGAAGAACTCAAAGTGAGTCTGAATTACTCTCAAAATGAGTGACAATGTAAAGAACTTTCTTAAGGTCCAACAGAGTGAGTGTAAGACCATGTCCAGGGTGAATGAACTGAAATCTTCCTGCAGTCACCATGCCAACTGCACGCTCCCTCAAAACTTGCGACATCTGTGGTGTTTTGCTGTGTGATGGAACTGCACATTTTTGACTGGCCTTTTATTGTGGCCAGCCTAAGGCACACCTGTGCAATCCCCATGCTGTCTGATCAGCATCTTGATACGCCACACCTGTGAGGTGGATGGATTATCTCGGTAAAGGGGAAGTGCTCACTAACACAGATTTTGACATATTTGTGAACAATATTTGAGAGAAATGTGTACATAGAGAAAGTCTTAGATCAGGGGTCGGCAAATAAGTCTGGCATCGGAGAAAAGTTTTTTCAAGCTGTTACATGGCGGGGCAGAACAAAGTCATATCATTTCAGATCATGTGCATGTTAAGCTCAGTCGGTACTGTGTGGGACTCCCATTAGGTAGTTTGTAAGAAACATTCCAACTTACTGCGGATATCTTTTTCTCCCTTGTTAAACAAATTGAATAAAAAGACACTTTTGCACATAATGCAGTGTGCTGCAGTGTGTGCGTTCTGGCGTTTGATCCGCATTTCACACCTATGGACACTTATTTTCATTTCCCTGGGAAATTCAAGGGAATCCAATCCCACGTTTATTGACAGCTTTCTCAGAGGTGTGACAAGCACGCCAGAGACTCTTCTGAAAGTCCTTCAGAACTCTTCAAAGTAAAAGCTCTTAATAAACTCGACATGAAGCATTAGTGCAAAAGACGTTCTGGCGCTTTTATTTTAGAGGCACAATCACTTAAGAGAAAGTGATTATGTTAGTAACTGTTGCTGTCATGACTGAGATCTCTTTCTGCACCAGCCGTTATCAAATAATGTGTTTTTTTATTTTTCTGCTATCAAAGCAATCTGGCTGCGGGCCACCTATTGCCAACCACTGTCTTAGATCTTTGAGTTCAGCTCAAGCTTCAGCTTGGGCGCCTCAGTTTGAATGGGCAGTGGAAGATTTTAGAATGTCAGGATTCTTGTTTGAGTATGGAACAGTTCATCTTTTCTTTGT